ATATATAATTTTAAGATGCAATAAATACCTATGTCTATGACTTCAATTTTTGAAACTTCTAGAAGAAAACAGAAGAGAACACAAGAAGTCATTAGCATTGGCAAAGACTTTCTTAGTAGGGTTCCAGTAGCATAGGAAATAATAGCAAGAATCAACCACTGAGTCTACTCCAAATAATAAGATTCCATATAGCAAATGAATCAGCAAGAGATAGCCTGCAGAAAGGCAGAAATCTTTGTCAGCTGCTCTTCCAAATGAGGTTTAATATGTAGACTTCAGGAAGTATAATGGGGTATGAATATGATCAAAATATACACAGTGAACCAAGTATTTTAAATTAATAAGAACTAAGAATAATAATAAAGAGCACAAAAATTATAATATTCCCCTAAAAATATACCAATCAATAAATGGGCATGTGAATTAAACTGATACCTCTAAAGAAATATACGTAGGAAATAAGTATATGAAGAGATATTCAGCAATTTTAGCCACTAGGGAAATGCAAATGAAAACTAACTTGATTGTTTTTTTTCTTTTTCCTATTTCTTTGTTTTAAAAAGAATAAAAAAACGGTTAAAATAAACATTAGAAATGATACAGAATTCTACTAAACAAAACAAAAACTCTATTTCATATTGTTGTCTACAAATTAGTTATTCAGATTACCAGATATAAGCACACAAAATTGATGAAAACAATTAGGCAAAAATTAAAAAGAAAAGAATTTAAGCATTAACTGCTCCTTTCAATAGACCAATAGAAATCAGCAGCACAATTATCCAAGCTACCCTGTGTATATACATATATTCAGATTCTATAACACCAGTGAGAATGCCCATTATAAAGAATATTTTTAAAATGGCAAGAATGTGAGAAAAAGAAACCCTTCTGCAGTCTTATTAGGCATGCAAGTTAGTATATTCACTATGCAAAAAATTTTGGAGTTTCCTCAAAAAAGTAAGACTAGACCTGCCAGATCACCCAGGTATACCACCCTTTGGTACACAACCAAAGGAAGCCAAATTGGTATACTACAAAGATGTGTTTATACCAATGTTTATGGTGCTACAAACATAACAGTGAAAACATGAAATTACCTGAGGTGCCCATCAGTGAATAAATGGAAAGAGACAATGTGGTTAATATATACAATGGACTACTATTCACCAAAGAGAGAATGAAATTATATCATTTGCAAAAAGAAAAAGAAAAAAGGATACAACTAGACATTATTGTGTTAAGCAGAATAAGCCAGAGCTAAAACATCATATACTGTATATTTTTTCTAATATATTGTACTAAAACAAAACAAAAAAAGATAAGCATACCAGGGAAAATATTAATAGATAAAAGGAGATTAAAGAGAAGAAGCATGGGAAGCAGATCAAGGTAAAGGTGGATGACAAGATTTTATGTCATATACATGTAGAAAAGTGCCACATAGAAATAAGATATATTATGAAATTAATTTGCCATAATAGAAATGCATTTTAAAAGAAATATAATCATAAAGGAAAATAGAAATTCTAGAACATCATAATAAATGTATCTTACCAAAAATTACAAAATTTGAAATTTGAAAATTTTATGATCTATGCAACTTTATAGATGGTAGATAAAATAATCTTTGAAAACTGAATTACTTCCTATTCGTGTACATAATAGTCATTTACAAAACTTTATAATATATGTATAATATATATTATGTATCTGCATATATAAATTTAAAATATACATTGATAACAATAAAGACAAATTAGTTATCAGTATACAAAAATTATTTATAAAGATACAACACATACAGAAAACCTCTTCATTTTAAAGCATATAAAGAAGCTGTTCAAATGCTCTAAAGTAAATGAGTTTATATTCTATATATCAAGTCCAAAGAAACTCCACATGAACTTTATAATTTCATAAGAGTATACTATCTTGTGGAGCAAGTTGTTAGAGCTGGCTTTGAGTACTGATAATGAAAGTGGGTTTTTTTGTTGTTGGAGATTTTTTGCTTTGTTTTGTTTTGTTTATTTATTTAGTACAGGGTCTCACTAAGCAGCTCTGAATCCTGGTGATCCTCCTGATTTCAGCCTCCCAGCGCTGGGATTACAGGTGTACGTCACCACACCCAGTCTGGGTGGCCTGCTCAGCATGCCTGGGGGTGGGCAGGTGGGGATAGAACCCTGGTCCTTGAGCTTGCCTAAGCAAGTGCTTAGTCCTATGAGCTATCATGGTGGACCTCTGATAATGGAAATGTTTTGAGTGGGATCCATCTGCCTATGTTTAATTAAAAAGTAACTTTCTTTGATTCGAATTGAGCATGTTCCTTCAGGACATTCACCTAGGGATAGGTTTTCCTTTACCTAGAAATCAGACTACTGACAGACTAGACCTTGCCTAGTCCCTATTTTAATTATGCTTATGTGACTGAACCATTTATAATTCAGGCTGCTCAAGAACAGGCCCACACATGAGATCAGTTGTCACAAACAGAATGCTTTAAAAATTAGGAATAGTTAATGCTTCAACTTTTTTGTTCTTTTATTTTTTGACCAATTTTGTGTGCTTATATCTGATAATCTGCACAACTCATTTGAAGACAACAATATGCAATATAATAGCCATTTTAAACTCCTATCACATTTAGTGAAATTCCGTATTGTTCCTAATGTGCTTTTTTATTTTATCAATTTTTATTTGCTTTAAAAAATATAAAAAGTTTATCATGATTAATTCCACTTCAATCCTGAGTCTTCACTTCTGCCTTTGCCTACTGTACAAAGGAAAACAAAACCACAGGGACAAAGAAAACACAGTGTAACATTAGACCACCTGAAATAAAGGGCTTATGTGGTATGATGTTTTCAGTTCTTCTGGAAAAATACCTAGGAAAGGAATACCTGGGTTATAGAACCTTTAATCTTAGTTTCTTGAGGAATCTCCATGTTGATTTCCACAATGGTTGCACCAGTCTACGCACCCACCAACAGCAGGGAAGATGTCCTTTTCCCCACAGCCCCTCCAGCATTTCTTATTAGTTGACTTCTTTATGATAGCCATTCTTTCTGGGATGAGATGGAATCTCAGTGTGGTTTTAATTTGCTTTTCGTGAATGACCAATAATGTTGAAAATTTTTTCATATTTATTTGCCATTTGTATTTCTTCGTCTGAGAAGTGTATATTCATTTTTTAATTGGGTTTTTGAATTTTGGAGGATTCTGTTTTTAATTCTTTATATGATCTAGTCAGAAGTCCTTTGTCTGAGGGACAGTTGGCTAAAATTCTTTCCCATTTCATGGTTTTCTATTATTCTGTTTGTGATTTCTTTTGACATGCAGAAACTTTTTAAAAAGATAAGATCCTAGTTGCTGATTCTTGAAGTATATCCCATGCAATTTGGTTTTTGTTCACGAATTCTCTGCCCATCCCTAGCAGTACAATTTGTCATGACTAAATCTTGGAGACACCCCAAATGACCATTAATAGAGGAACGGATTTAAAAGATGCAGTAATTTTTTTCAATGGATTACTATTCAGCTATAAAAGGATAAACTGGAGGCTTTCATTGGTAAATGGATGCAAATACATACCATTCTCAAAAGTAATATAAATCAAACCCACATGTGTGAACATCATATTGTCTCCCTAGTGTAACCTGAAAGAGTTAATAAATTCTGAAAGGTACAATATAGTGAAAGGGAAAGAAACTATTAGAAGGAACAACTGAGATGAGGGAAAGGAAAAAGAAACAAGGGAAAAATAAATACGTAAGTATGTGCACAGAATAGCTTTGCTAATTACACTGCTGCTAATTTCTGCTGGTACACTGAAAGGAGCAGTTAATGCTTAAATTTTTTTCTCTCCTTTTCATTTTTTAATAATTTTTGATGAATTTTGAATGACTATATTTGGTAATATGAACAACTAATTTTAAGACAACACTATCTAATATAACTACCAAAATTGAATTCCTGTCATTTTGCTTAGTAAAATTCTGTAACATTTCTAATGGATTTTTTTTTTACTATTTTTTATTGTCTTTAAAAAATAAAAAAATTGAAAATGCTGATGGGGCTTTTTAAAAATTAATCACTGCTTGACCTTTCTTCCCTGATTTATAAGAAGTAGACACAAATACCTGTTTTATGTTGTTGTGGAGAATAAGCCATGAGCCCAGTGCATTGCAGGCACCCAACTGATGTAAGTAAATTTTTCTTTTTTTCTTTTTCATTTTTCATTTTAATTTTTTATGCATTTAGTACAGGGTCTACAGGATCTACAGGGTCTCAATACGTAGATCAGTCTCATAGTGATCCTCCTGTTTTTAGCCTCCCAAGCACTGGGATTACAGGCGTGTGCCACCTCGCCCAGTCTCAATCGCAGTCTCAGTGCACGGGGGTGGGCACAGCATGGCAGGGATCGAGCCAAGGCAGAATTTTTCTTTTTTAAATTTAATCCTCAAGAAATGTTCCTTTATCATAAAATACAGTTATACTAAACATAGAATTATCAGTGCTTAAAAGTGTAAATATTTCTTTCCATCACAAATAAGTTTTCAATCAGTATTAGAAATTTTAATACTTGAAAGAGAAAATATACAAACCATTAATCATAAAGTGGTTGAGATAAGTCACTGTTCTATGTAACAATGCACTAAATCTATTATTTACATCAATAGAATGGGAAGTAGATCAACAATAAAATGGAAGATTTAGACACAGAAATTACACTTCAGTATCATAAGTGAAATTACTTCAAGGCAATTAACTGTAGTAATTACACTTACATGCTACTAATTACTTACATGTCTCCAATGCTGAAGTTTTCCTTTTACATGACTTTGAGGCTTGGAAAAGATATCCTTAAAGACTTCGTCTTCATTCCTGTTAGTTATGTAAAGCCATTTTGCTTCATATTCTTTAATAATTTTCTCCTGATGTCTTTTACTTAAAAATAAAGTGCTAAATATACAGGGAAGAGAACTATCAATTGGTTTTTTGTCAAAAAGTCAAAACTACTGATGAATTTACAACATCTTAAAATTA